TTCTGTTACTGTCATCAACCCGCGAACAAACCCCTAAATCTAGAAATTACTAGATAATGATCCGTTCCCAGGTCAGAACCCCTGAACACTCGTGTATCCATCACCTGTTTTCGCAGTCGGTTATCCACCAGGAACAAATCAATCATACTTCTCTCATTCTTTCTTTCTCTAGTGTACATATGGATTTTCCTGTGATTAAACATAGTGTTTGTCACAAGAAGACCCTTTTCCTTGCATACAGCCAGTATAAGCTTGCCAGCATCATTAACCCTTTTATCGCCAAACTTTCCAAGCACCGACTCGTATCCTGGTCGAGCGATACCTACCCATCCATTCAAATCACCACATACAACAGTTCTTTCGTTTCCCTTAACCAAATCTAGAACTTCTCTTACATTCTCCCGAAACTCCTCCAGCTCAGCCCTGGACGACGAAGCTACCGGCGCATAAACAGCCAAAAGGAATAACTTCGTCAGTCCCATTTTGAAGCGAACCCAGAGAAGACATGAAGTTTGAGTGTTCGAATGCAACAGCTAACTAACAAAACTGAATCAAGCAAGGAGCGTTGGCAAAAAAATGCGAATTTTTTCCCCCAGACAAGTTTCGTCCGGACGAGTGTGACAGGCATAAATCGCGTTTCTACTGCCGGTCAGTACAGTCGCTTCATAATTATGTGGCGGCTCTAATCCGAACCTACAATATTTTCGCAGCGTAAGCATGCCAACTGCGCGAAAATAATTCGAAATGGCGTGTCAACCTAAACGATCAGATACCGTCGTAGTGAACGAGTTCCTGGTCTTTGTTCAACAAAAATTGGACGTTGTGGACCAGGTGTCACTGAGGACGAGATCACCCAAGCGAAGAAGGTGTTAGCAGATTCAGCCGTGACCCAAATCCGTCTTATCACACGTCATAGAGATGGATGCGGTAAGAAAGACCTGCAAGACATCTTCAGACTGTTCAATGAGACTGATCCTGATATCCCAACTTTCGTCGCGCGTGATCTCAACAAGCTGCCTCCCGTGACGTTCGATCACGTAGACGTGACCAGATTGTTTAAAGATATCACCACGTTGAAAGCCGAAGTCACCGACCTCCGTTTCAAATTTGAAGAATCGGAACGAGCCGCAACTGAGCTGAAGAACGAAGTCACTATGTTGCGCAACATAATTGCAACATCAGCGAATTCACCGCCGTCGCAGAATGTAAATACGACACGCGGTAACAGTAGTCATATTTCACCGATGATTGCGACTCCGTCACACGATATCGTCTGTCAGCGAGTTGATGACCGTGAAACTAGGGCGACCTCGGTCGTCATTACATCACCACCTCAGCCCTTGACTGAACCCTTGAGTACTCCTCAGCCGAAGCCAACCTGTCAACAAGGAAAGACGTTTGCGGATGTTGCTCGAAAATCTTCGCAACCCTCATGTGGTAAAAAACAAAAGAATGTGGATGTAAAATCAGTTCCTGTGGTGACCCAAACGAAGAGAGAGAATGACGAGTTTACTCTGGTTTAGAAGAGACGTCGGTCGAGACCCGTCTGTAACCAGTGTGGGTCCGCCAAAATAAACGCAAGTACAACTCTGCGTATTGTGGAGCCCACCATACAGCTCTACATCTCCCGTTTGAACAAAAGTACGTCGGGAAAAGACGTCCTGCGTTTCGTGGAAGAACGAAGCCGATGCCGCATAGAGGATTCGATCTCTTTACATTTACAGCGTCTGGAGTCTAAGAGGTCCACGAACTTCAAATCCTACGTAGTCCTTTCTGCAAAATACAAAGAGACATTCCTTGCTCCCGATTTCTGGCCCTCTGGGGTAGTATTTCGCCGATACAGGGACGCGCCAAAGAAGAAAGTTCTCTAAATAGTGTTATATTTATATTTTATATATATTTTTAGGTTAAGGTATATATTGCTATGGGCCAATGTTCTTAATTTTTAAGTCCTTGATGCCTGAAATAAAGTCATTGTATTGTATTGTATAAATGTATACGATATGTTTCTATGTTAAATATATTAGTTTACATATTAATTGTTTTAGTAATGAGTTACGCAAAAATTTCAGTATAACCCACGTATTGCAATACCTACAACCTCAACGTAACTTAAGTGACGTCAAAACCGACCCGAAACCATGCTCAACTTATTGTAACATGCACTCAAGTATACATTATACATATAAAACCATTTCGAACCATTGAACTCAAATAATTTCAATTTCTTCAAACAACTCAACCATGTTGGTTTTGGTGCATATGTGTGGGTCCAGAAGAGGCCTGTTACAGAATATTATAAAGCAAATAGAAAATTTAAAAAAATTGTACAGTGTACAGAAAAATTAAAGACTCTACTTTAATATGTGAAATTATTTTAATATTTATAGTGCTTTGAAGTCGACTTTTACTTTTTTTAGTTAAAGTATTTTTATTGTCCCCAAAATTTTCTGCGTGGTAGAAATATTTTAAAAGTGGTAGAATTTTACCCTTGCATCCCGAAAACTCAAACGGGGTAGGTCCATGCTCTCACCGAATGCAAGTGTAAATAGTAGCTTAATGCTGCTGTGTTTCGGTGGTGAGTGTAGAGAGAACCGGACAATCTTTTTACTGGAAACGAGGCATTTCATCTCAGACCTCAAGTATGACAACGCATCTGCATTTTGATTCTAAAATGAAGATAAATGTAGATGTCTATGGGCCACAGCATCTACTTACCATCAGGTGGATTGTGTGCTCGTTTTTTACCTTTATTTAATAAAAAAAATAAGACCACCCCCGAAACATAACCAATTTAATAAAGAAAGAGGTGAGCGTGTCAAGAAATTGGACATGGTTTCGACATCGCATGAACATGTACACGGTGTTCTGTCTATTTTTCCTTTTTGGTCTGAATTATATAATCGTTGGGAATAGATTTCAATATGGCAACCGAGTGCCTCTGTTATTGGGCATATCTATACTTCTAGCAGTATAATATCTTCGATGAGTAATTGTTTCCAATTCACAGAATACTTATTTTACGACGTCGTGTTTCATATGGTGATTTTAGAAAACCGGAGACACTTTACTTACTGGAAACGAGTCATTCCACCTTGGTCCTCAGGGGTGACAACGCATCTGCATTTTAATTATTAGTCGAGAATAGGTGTAGATTTCCAAGGGCCACAGGATTCAAATACCATCAGATGGACTTCGTATCATTTTGTCATTCTTATTTTATTAAAAAATATTGAGAAGTTGTAGTATGAAGTATGGCTGAAATCAAACAGGAAGTCTTAATCATCGCCACAGACAAGTATATTTGTACTTTAAAACTAGGATTTTTCTTTTCGTACTTCTTCTTAGGGGGAATGACTCTTTTGAATGGAAGATTTGTCTCAACCTCCTTGCTTAGCTAACGGATATCTGTATCAGACATTACACCTCTAAAAGTGCCGTTAGAGGCATCAAAAAGAAATGAACCGGTACATGGGCATATGTTCCTGGTAATAACTTAAAATGTTAAAAATCTTAGGTTGCCAATCCACCTTTTTCTTACGTGGTAGAGCCATGCTCCAGCTATATTGTGGATGCAGCACGAATGGGTCGACTCGATCGGAGTAGGACCAAGCTCTCACAGAATACCAGCGTAAAATAACAGCTTAATGCTTCTCTCTATGAGGCAATCTCTACTAGGCCTATGTTTTTTTATAGGTTAGGGTGACAAACGAGTACACAGTCCACCTGATGGTAAGTGGTTACTGTGGCCTCTATGGGCCACAGTAACCACTTACCATCAGGATCAGAACCATGTACATCAACATCTATCCTCAATTACGAATCAAAATGCAGATGCCTTGTCACCCGTGAGGACTAAGATGGAATGCCTCGTTTCCAGTAAAAAAAGGTCTCTAGTTCTCTACACTCACCATACGAAACACAGCAGCATTAAGCTACTATTTGACGCTGGTATTCTGTGAGAGCGTGGTCCTTCTCCGGTCGAGCCGACCAATGCGTGCTACAACTATACTACTAAATAACTGCATAATGGCTCTACCACGTAAAGCTGTTCAGCAGTAGACTGTTGATAGACCGTAAGAGTCTTCATGTCGCAGGAAGGAAAAGCGTCGTTGACATGCTATGGTCTAATTTCTAATACGGAACTGTCAAGGTAAGACGCGTTGCAGTTGCACTTGTGCTATCGTATTACCGATGAATAGGTATGTTGATATGAATTCACGTTTACATACGCTCAGCTTTCTGAGAATATAATTGTTTTGTTTTAGAAAAACGTTACCTCCACACTAGGATTTTCGTCTGTATCGTGGGAGCAGTAAAATAAATTAATTTCACAAGGATAAACATCCAGACCCAGAACAATCATTTGTAGGCCTTACAAAAACTTGTTTTATGCGGGATTTGAAACCGCGGCCATTAGCGTTGCAACTCATTGCTAAGCCACTACGTCACGGAGCCGTCAAATATATAAATAAAAGTAATAAAACATATATAAAAGTTAAGTTACAACTTATATACCTTATACTTCTGTACACTGGCCTCCTGTCATTTCTGAGAGGATTTTTGACAGACTAAGAATATATTATGCTCCACTTACAAGAGTTATGTATCAATTAAACTTTGCACTCCCCCGAAATATTTTACTCCCCAGACGTGTAGGTACTTCACAATGTTTTCCTTCACCGCCGAGCACGTGGTAAATGAGCTCTTGCAATAGCTGAGGGCAAATTGTGTGCAAACAGAATTTTACAGTGCAAAGGAACGTTTTCTAATTTATTATGCTAATAATTATGCGACGAATGTTAGCGATATTACAGTAAACTACAGTTAATAGCCATAAATTATCCATGGAACCTAATTAATTAATCAAAGATGACCACAGCCGGCGAGGACGCGTTGCGAAACAGTGCCCTAATAAGATATATATACAGTAGCGTGTCAGACTATCCATACGTCACTTGACATCTTCTCTCCAGTGAAACCAACCGCCTAAGAGCACCATGAAATCCTTTGTGAGTATCCATTTTGTGTCTGTCTTATTTTAAATTAATTGTTTATGTCTACTCAGCAACTTAACAATCGAACTTGATTCCTAGTATCAGTGCAACACTGCCTTCGTCTTGTAAAGACTACTAATCGTGAGGTCGCGGGCCCGTACCCGGGTCGGGCTAAGATAAATTGTTGGATTTTACTACCAAGGAATACTCAATAGCCGCCCGGAGTCATGAAGGTGGCGGCATCTCGTGTCTTGGAAAGCTCGTAAGCGGTTGGTCATACGTCTGATCTCTGTGGGCGTGTCGGATTGCCGCCCTATCGGTCTATGATAGTGAGAAAATAATTTTGTGGCTGTAAATCTGGTAATGATAATACGTCAGTTATGGAAAAATCAAAATGATACCCGGATAGATTCCATTCCATATTTTTGATCCTAATATAAAGCCTCGTCCGGGCCGCCCTACTCCGAAATGTAGAGCGACCCGAGCTTTAAATTTCAGGGTAGGGCGATCAATCACTAACCCAACAAAATGAAGTGACGACCTGCTATGAGATGCATGAAGTTGGATGTATGCTCAGTTCCATGCTTTATGGCATTAATTTGGAGAGTTCAGTAGTGGAAATGCGATAGGCTGCAATAGGCAAGTATCGTCTCACAGTTAGCTATTTTTAATTTTTGAATACCTACATAGAAAGCCTATGCGTTGTTTTTGTAATTCTTTACTAAGTGATATACATATTTTAAAAAGATGACAGAGCCATGCTGCAGCTATATTATAATTGTAGCACTCTCGACTGGGGAATGACCACGATCTCACTGAATACCAGCGTAAAATAGCAGCTTAATGCTGTTGTGTTTCATACGGTGAGTTTAGACAACCGGAGACACCTTTTTATTAGTAACAAGGAATTCCATCTTAGTCCTCAGAAAAAAAAATATTTGTCATATAAATATTTGGTCATAAACAGTGATTTAAGGAAAGATTAGATAAATATTTTTTACTTGACATGGTCGTTACTCGGGCATATTATTGCGTTATTGTATAAACCAAATTAATATTGTAAAAGATTATCACGCCGTATTATCAAGTTTTAAAGTTAAAATTATTGTATTATTAATTATGTAGGAACAACATTTAATGGTCGCTTTGAACTTGATAATTTATACAACAGTTAATATAAAAAAGTGAGTTGAGTGCCATTATCTATTACATTCGTATGCTGGTTAAAATTTTTGGATTAAATGCAATATTTATTCCAATAGTTATTTATTGTTTTTAATGTTAATTTTATTTTTAATTGCCTTGTTATTCTAGTGGTTCCAGGGTTTAAAACTCAGGTAGAGCCAAAATCAGTCGTTGGTTTTTTCTGAAAAGTATTTCTTTATAGCATCCCGGAGTCATAAAGTTCTTGGTGTCACACCCCAGTGCCTCGGAAAGCATGTAAAACCATTGATCCTCCGCCTAATCTTTCTCCGATCGTGTCGGATATTTTCCGATCGCGCTATGAGATTGAGATAGAGAGTACACCTTTGCGTATACACTGTACACTATAATCATATCTATATATTCTTATATATCCTGGATATAATAAATACTGGCCGCTTTAATATAATAATTTTTATTTATTTGTTACCATTGATATTATATGAGTACTTGAATGAGTATGTAATTATTCCTTATATTTACGCAAATACCACTCATTAAATGAAACTAATTCTACGGATTTTATTGCGTTTAATTTAAACTTGTTAATTCCCGACGTTTCTGTGATCATCGAAGCTTTACAGCACCCATGGTCACGGAGAAACTGAGGTGAACTTTCAGCTTTTGAATATTAATTTTTGGTCCGACTACCTTCAAATTAGTTTCACTGAATGTACATTTACCGAGTAGTGGCGGTGTAGGAGTATCCACTACTAAGAAACAAATCAGAAGATGGGCAGCAGCGTCTTGCAAATTTTTTGTTATCAATCGCCGAACCACTGGCCAAGCCCGACTGTAAGGCAATCTATGGGGGGAGGCTTCCATCCAGCATGTACTTTAACAGGCTGTACGAGTAACGGTAACGGAATGTACATATTTTAACTAAACATAACATTGTTTGTTACAGATCGTAGTTTTGTGCTTGGCGGTGTGCGCTTTCGCTGGAAACGTTCGTGAGAAGCGCGGCTTCCTTAGCGGTTTGCACTCCGCTGGAGGCTTGTCGTATGGTTCCAGTTACGGCGGTTATTCTGCACCCAGTTACAATGCTCAGGCTGTGAGCTACTCGGCTCCTGCCATCAGCTACTCCTCTCCTGCCATCGGCTATTCCAGTCAAGCCAACTACGCCACTGGGCCAGCCGTTGGTTACTCTGCCGGTCCAGCTATCAGCTATTCCGCTCCCGCAGCACGAGTTGTCACCGTCAACAGAGTTGTCAACGTACCTAGGGTTGTGACCGTGCCCCAAGTTGTGAACGTTCGAAAAGTAGTGTCTGTTCCTCAAGTGGTATCAGTGAACAGAGTAGTGTCTGCTCCTACCTTATCAACCGGCTACGGCGGATACGGAAATGGATACGGATACGGAAGTGGCCAAGGATACTGAAATGTGCAAGGATACGGAAACGGATACGGATACGGAAATGACCAAGGATACGGAAATGGTCAAGGATACGCAAACAGCCAAGGTTACGAAAGCAGCTGGTGATGAGCCTAGTCTACTTACTCAAATGTGATTTTGAAGTTTTATTTTAGGTTTTCGTTACTACTTTGTTATTGAGTAGAATATTATACAAATATATATTTTTTTACTAAATTTTTGTATTTTTAATGTCAAATACTCTCTTATCAAGATGGCAAGATCGTTTAAAGGTAACTAATTTTACTCCAAGTAGTTTTAATGTAAAATTTTAAGTAGACAACAGCAAAAGCGAAAGACGTAGAAACAACTACGTTAGATCGCACAGGTCTCGCAAAGTAGGTATCCAACGTAATTTAAGGTTGTAAAGAGATATTCACTTATTGCTTTCAGGTGCATGAAATAAATAATCTGCTTTGCAAAGTTTAAAATTAAAAGAAATGAAGATAAATGTGATGAAACTAATTATATATATATATATACAAATTACATGAATAATATTTTTTGATCTTATTGACATAATAAAATAAACTGAACTGGTTATTTGAATGAAAATCATGAGTGCAATTAGTTTAATTAAAATTTTTCTTATTTTTAAATATTACTAAAAAAAGGGCTTGAAATAATAGATTTTCTCACAAAAGAAGGGAATTTGAAAAAAAGGAAAAAAAGTAGGACCCAAGACGGGACGCGAACCACGGAACTCCGAACCCCTATTGCGATCGTTAGTAGTCTGTCAAAATTTACCTTCTTATATTGTAGCAGTTTTTTATTGCCTGAAAACACGGACAAAAGGACATTTTCTAAAAATAAATCCTAGCTAGATCGATTTATTGCCCCCGAAACTCCCTGGACACTAAATTTTATGAAAATCGTTGGAGCCGTTTCCGAGATTCAGATAATTGCTCGTTTAAAGGTATAGGATATATATATATATATATATATATATATATATATATATATATATATATATATATATATATATATATAATAGTTGTATAATATAGCTCTCTGGTGCGGCGCAGCAGCTCGTTTCTGTGTCTTTTGCTGTGACTGTTGTGTACTTAAAATGTTACATTAAAACTACTTGGTGTAAGATCCAATATGAAAAAGTTTTAAGGTACTAATTGACTTTAACTTTGTGCTTATATCAACAGCCACTAACAACACCCATGGGGAGCAACGTAGTTCGCGTCCGTGGAAGACCTTAAACCACACATGATCCCTGGGTGGTGTTAAATGAACAACTTTGGTCGCCAAACGCCCACGAAAATTACTGGCACCTCCCTGCAACTAAGCATCAAATGCTCACAATGCATAATTCAAATATGTCAAAAAATGGTCCTTTGAGGACCAAAGTGACGGACGACGATCAGTCGGAAAACTTTGAATGTACTTCAAATAACTGTAAAAGGCCTCTTGAAAGCAAAGATAGAATTCCTCAGTCAATTAACAAAAAAGCACAAGGTAGATGTCCTCCTACTCCAGGAAACGCACGTCAGCGAAAATGTTGGTCACAAACTAACTATCCCGGGTTTTGAGCTAATTTCACAAAGCTGCATGCGAAACAAGGGCGAGCATCATACGTGAATACTAACATTGTAAACCTACCTACCTATAAACGGCTCCATCTACGTGGCTACAAAAGTAGGAAATCTCACTGTATACATTGTGTATGTGCCTCCAAAATGGATTGGCCAGTTAATGTAATGCTAATATGGGCAAACGCACACAACTTTTATCTACTGTACGATAGCAATCAAAAACCATCTTATCGCTCTGACGAGCATCTGACGATGGGAATCAAGCACCGATCCAGATCTGTGTTTCGTCACAACAACTAGAAGAACACACCACTTCCATCAAATAAAGTTGTACTATCCTGCTTCCCCAGAAGCTAACATAGACCGTCCCTAATAACTATAGGTATTACCATACCGATATTACACAGCTTCCCGGTATAACTCTGGAATCTACGAAAAGCCAACTGAATAGCCTACAAAGACTGGGTCGAAGTGATCGGAAGAATTCCTGTTGCTGTCAAAAATTACTACAGGTTCACCAAAATGTTACTCAAAGCCGCCAAAAGAGCCTACCGAAATTCCAAGAGACTACCGAAAGAAATACATTCCTGGATGAGTCCGAGAATGCGATGATCTGATATACGCTTTGGAAGAAACCGAAGATCCTGAAATAGCTGAAAAACGAATAGGACACGTTGATCACGTGACACGGGAGCGCTGGAAGAAAACTAAAACGGAGACAGACTTCCCGAAATCTAGTCGGAAAGCATGGAGTAAAATGCAAAAACTCGGTGCAGCCTAGCAGCCCCATTTCACCAAACATGCTATGAACCCAAACAAAATATCACTGTGCTTAAAAATAATGGAACACCGGTACCTAAAAATTTCAGACGTATCGTAAAACGAGAACTCCAGGAATTGCGCAAGACTTTCCTCTTATGACAGCTCTCAAGTCCACAAATACGGGTAAAGCCACTGGAGGGGATGGAATTATACCAGAATTTCTACAAAACCTAGGCCTTGTAACTCTGTCTTGTCTGTGTGCTTATTTCCCCTGCGTGGTCACACAGTGTAAGCTACCACCTCAATGGAAAAAAGCTAATGTGATCGCACTTCCTAAGCCAGGAAAATCACCTGATATGCTTGAATATTATTGCCCGATATCACTGTTATGTTCGTCGTTTAAACTGCTGGTAAGAATTCTCCTTGTGAGATTTTCACCAAAAACTAAAGAAGCACTGCCACAAGAAAAAGCAGGCTTTCGAAAATGTGATCAAGTGCTGTCATTAACATCTAACTTAGAGGTTAGATTCCAACAAAAACTTAATACAACACGGGTGTTTGTCGATCTGAGCTAACATCGATTCCTACCAAAGATGATACGTGAGGCTATTGAAGTTAAAAAAACATCCTTATTTAAATAGAGAAGGAGGCTGGGTACTAACAACTGCTTTGGACTCTGTAATTAATAAAATTAAAACTAAACCCGAGCATACCACTGCAAGACTTGAAGACAGTAGGTTCATTCTGCGTAGATCAGACCATATATTAATAATTAGAAAACTGCAGGTACTCCGGCTTATCACTGACATCGAGATGTCAGTCACCTCAGTCCCCTTGACCATGGATGCTGAAACGCATTTGAAAAGTCGCGAAATAAATTAAACGCGATAAAATCTGTAAAAGTAGTTTTAATCAAAATGCGTATTCAATTGACTCCTACCACAATGCTGATGTTCTCATTTCATTCATATTGAAGTGGGTTGCACCAAATGCTTAATTTTACCACTTGTATATTTGTCTGTCTGTCTGTCCGAGCTAATCTTTGGACTGGCTGATCCAACTGTGCTGAAACTTTACCAACAAATAGAGAACAATGCCAGAAGGTATCTAAGATATATTAAATCCTAAAAACAGAGAATATTTTAAAGAATCTAATATTTTCTAAAAAAATAGTTTTTTATCATCTTAAATCTAAATAACGTCACATTATGAGATCCTAACTAGATCAACCCCGGCCGGGTCGCAAGATAAAAATAAAATAAAAAGATATTAAAGTCAGCCAACAGTCGCCATATTAGTAAGTAGTAGGGATCTTCAAGAAAAGAACTTACATCTTTTAAAATAGCCACCAACGTACCTGCAATTACCCTGATATTGCAGTTGTTCATGGGCGATGGTAGTCACTTTCCATCAGGTGAGCCGCGTGCTCGTTTGCCCCCTCTCCTATAAAAAAATACAAGAGGGCCTTGTCGCGACGGGGGCACGGTCTTAGTATCCGTGGCTTGGTCACCCGCCGTAAGCTAAGAGACTGCACATAAGACTCCTACAACTAACTTTATACACAAAAGACCACACTTTGTAAAGTGGGCGGCAAGAATATTCACATGTTTTGATTCTTAATAATAATTGGGGATCGATTGAAAGTTTTCGGTAACATAACTATATGTGCGGTATGGAATAAGTTATAGCCAGAATCGCCTGTTAACGAGACCGTTAAATTGAGTACTTTAGTTATGATGTTACTAATTTATGGTATATAAAATAGCGATATTAAAAGTAGTATATTTGTCAGCGAATTTTAAAAAAAAATATGTTTTAAAGCTTAACTTATATACATAATTTATACGTGGTGGAGCCATGCAACAGCTATAGTATTGTTGTACTACGAATGGATTGGCTAATTCGGGGGAGGAACATGATCTCACAGAATACAAGCGTGAAATAGCAGCTCAATGCTGCCGTATTACATGTAATGAGTGTAAGAAACAAGGCATGTTGCAATCAGGCAGATTGAATACTCGTTGGTCACACTTATTCTATAAAAAAGAGAGCTATAAATATTTGCCAGAATCGCCATCATCTGTTATTTAATCGATCAGTATTAGTGGATAGCATGTAAAATAATTAGTGTATCGACCATACAATTAATATCACACGATACACGCTCTTTCCCAATATTACTTATCATTATCATCATTACAGCCCTTCACAATTCCACTGCTGAACATGGGCTTTCCCCCAGGAATATGACAAAGCACGGTCTTGCATCGCTTACCAGGTCATCACTCTAATGGGGGCCTCCCCACACTTCACCTTCGTTTGTTGCTTCCCCATCGGGTGATGGTTCTTCGAGCTATATGGCCGAACAATTGCCACTTCAGATTACCTTGAGCTTTCCCGTATGCCCAGCAGTGAAGGACCACGTCTCATATCCATAAGTCATCACTGGCAACACGCATTGATTGTACAATCTTGTTTTCAAGTTGAGGTATAAGTGACGAGAAGCTTAATCTCCGGAACACTGCCCAGCCGCAGCATTCAAATTGAATCCTTCGATTAAACTCTCTGTTAAAATTGGACTCGCAACGATATCCACTTACAATTAATTGTAATACTGCTCCTTCGTCTCACTTACTTCTATACGAGTACAATGAAATGGGC